TCGCAGCGATCCTCCTGCCTCAGACTCCCGAGTGCTGAGGGAAGGCTTTTTGCTTTTAAAATTATTTAAATTTTGTAAATATGCTTGGATAAATGACAGCAACAGTTTCCACACACAGAGAAAAAGAAACTAGCTACTCATTTACTAACAATGAGGATATACAGTATCTCTTTACACAGGAGAAAGAACCTAGCATGTCAATACTGGAATGTGCAATTCGTTACATCTATAAAAGTGATTAAAAAAAGAAGCCAGGGGGATGGGGATTTAGCTCAGTGGCACAGCGCCTGCCTGGCAAGCACGACATTTGAGTACGATTGCCGGTACCAGGAAAAAAAAAAAAAAGAGAAGCCGGGCATGGTGGCGCACACCTGTAATCCCAGAACTCGGGAGGCTGAGGCAGGAAGATCGTCACACACACAAGAAGAGAAATCTTTTTTTGTTTGTTTGTTTTCCGGTACTGGGAATTGAACTCCCGACCTTGCGCTTGCCAGGCAGGCGCTGTGCCGCTGAGCTAAATCCCCAGCCCCCTCAAAAAGAAATCTTGTAAAAATGGTTAGGCATATTTTGTGCTAGATAGTCTTCGTTTTAGGGAGTTTCCAAAATATTTTCACGTTTTACTGTACATGATAAAATATTGGGTATAAAGTCATTAGAAAAATAATATAATTTTGATGATTCTGGAAAATAAAGGAATTCTTCCCTGTTTCTCTAACAAAAACAACTATCTTATTTGGTGGTTACTATGCAACGCTCCCCGGAACAAACCACTCTCGAAAGGGAGTGGGTAGGTGGTAAGGAGAATGCTCAGACTTGGACGTGTGGCCATTTTTGAGGAGGGCACACAGAGAAAAAGACTGGTAATGTAGCTTAGCTCTGTTTACCTTTCCAGAATGGAAGTATAATTGAACGGTGGTTGCTAGGCAATACTTTACAGTGTCGCCATCTTTGAATGGGGCACCTGTTTACCAGTTTAAAATGGAAATCCAGGCAGAATTTGGTTGCTAAGCAATGCTTTGGCACCGTGGCCATCTTTGATCGGGGCACAATTTTTCATCTACAACGTAATTATATTCCACATGGTGGTTATTAGACAACGCATTAAGACTCTCACCATCTTCAATCTACTCTTTATTCTCATTAAACAAAGTCAAACCATTTCAGAGAAAAACTATAGCGTGAATGGTTGTCCGCCATCTTTGTTAGGGGTATGATAACTTCCGGTTGGGGCGGAAGTGAACCTACCGGGGTTTGAGGGTCTGTTTCAGTGAGATGAACCAGGCGGGAATTTAGTCCTGTTACAATTAGCGGCTCTGGAGGGCGCGAGGATTTACTGTGATGTGATTGCCGGCCAGCTCCCAGCCTGGCACTGATAGTACCGAAGGGAGACCCCACAGGGACTCGTCCAAATGGGAGAGGAGGGGACAGGGGGCACCGTGCATCTGCTGTGCCTCGCGGCCTCCAGCGGGGTCCCCCTGTTTTGCAGGAGCAGCCGAGGCGGTGCCCCAGCCCGTCAGCAGGTGGGGCTTAGTCGCCTGGATCCAAATATAAAAGGGCTAGGACGCTTGCGCTCTACGTCTGTAAGGGAGGAGGGACAGGGAAGTTTCTGCTTTGACTTAATTTTGTTGTTTTTCTTCCGGTACTGGGAATCGAACTCATGACCTTGCGCTTGCCAGGCAGGCGCTGTGCCGCCGAGCTAAATCCTCAGCCCCCGCTTTGACTTTAGAGATCCATGGGGCACACATCTAGCGGTGTCCGCTGGTTCCTCGAAAGGAGCTTCCAGGGGCTATGGAGAGGGGCTGGGAACGCTGTCGCTTGGATCTCAAGGGGGAGGTAACGGGATGCCCCTGTCTAATGCCCCCGACTCTTCCGCAGCTACCGTTCTCTGTCATCGGCTCCCTCAATGGAGTCCATATGTTTGGCCAGAATTTGGAGGTGCAGCTGAGCTCTGCGAGAACAGAGGACACGACCGTGGTGTGGAAAAGCTTCCATGACAGGTCCCTAGGGGGAGCTTGGGGCAGGGTGATAACCCCTGTTGAAGATGGCCTTCTAGCTGTTCATTTGCCTGTGGGATCTTTGATAAGAGAGTGACTCCACTGACCCCTAATTTCCCCTGTAGGAGAGGCAGGTGGACTAGGAGAAGACACAGCTTAGATCCAAGGGCACATTCGGCTTTACCCGCCACCCTGTTTCCCACACCTGGATTCACTCTTCCTTCTCCCCTCTGTCCCCACAGCATCACCCTCATTGTCCTGTCGTCAGAGGAGGGCACCTCGGAGCTGAGGCTGGAGCGACTGCTCCAGATGGTATTTGGGGCCATGGTGAGATCCCCGGGACTCTTTTCTACCAAACCTAGAGCTGTGAGCTCTCTCATCAGTCTCCTCCCTTAGCACTCAAGAATCGTGACCTTCAGTCAAAGCACCCCTCCTCCCTGAGGCCCAGCGTGGTTCCAGCCTCTGCTCCGTTAGAACCAGTTGTCGAGGGCTCTTAACTCGCCTGTGTGCTTCTTCTAGGTTCTTCTTGTAGGACTTGAAGAACTTACGAATATCCGCAACGTAGAGAGACTGAAGAAAGAGTTGAGGGTGAGGCTGCGGGACACTGGGATGGGAAATTGGGAATCCAAGGCGCTGCCATTCGGGCACTACAGCGCCCAGGCTCTTCAGGAAGAGCATGACCCCATCATTCCTGAGGGCAACCTGCTTGCCCGACCCTGGAGCACTTCTCTCTGAAGGAGGCAGCAGATGTGGGGCCCTCCTGGGTCCTAGGCTTCTCCCCTCTCTCTCTGCCAGGCCAGTTATTGCCTCATCGACAGCTTCCTGGGGGAGCCGGAGCTCATCGGGGACCTGACCCAGTGTGTGGACTGCGTGATTCCTCCAGAAGGGTCACTCCTGCAGGTACTGGCGCGTCTGCACCCATGACTTTGGCTCAGTCCTCATCCTTCTCCCCCTGGACCACTGTTCCAACCTCCTATCCTCTTGGTACCCAGTCTGGTCTCTCCTTAGTCCTAGAAGAACTCTCCCACACCCCAAGCTAGGCCTCCTCCTCTCCCCTGCTCAATCTGTGGATTCCACCGCCCTCAGGACCAGCCTCCAGCCCCCCCAGGCCCCCAACCCCGTTTTCAGGGCCTGTGGAATCTGGCACCTGCCAGGCTGTTGCTCAGTCCACAGACTGCCCGCCCGCCTGCCCGTGGGCCTTACAAAGCCCAAGGGTTTTCCAGCTTCTCAGCCTTGGAGCGTGCTTCTCCTTCACCTGGTAAGCTCCCATCTACCACTCCCTCAACGCTGCTCTTGTCCGTTCACCAGGCACGGGCACCCCCGGCAGTGTGACTGCCCACCAAGGACTTGACCTCTCTGAGCTGCCTGCCTGGCACAGTGCCCTTGCAATAAGCCATAGCTACTGCTGCTACTATTACTGTCTTCAGTATGTGCAGGCCAGGCTGGTGGTTTAATGACCACACATGAAGGCCAAGGAAGTCAGGCTGAGAGGGTGTGACACGTGGGCCTGGCCGTTCAGTGACCTCTGGGCTGTCCCCGGTCTCCTTCCCCTCCTCGCCCACCTGGGAGTCACTGCCACCTCCACCTCGTTCTTTTTTTTTTTTTTTCTTTTTGTTTCTTTGAGCGAGGGTCTCGCTATGCAGTTCAGGCTGGACTTGAACTCACTTTGTAGCCCAGGCTGGCCTCAAACTCGCAATGATCCTCCTGCCTCAGCCTCCCCAGTGCTGGGATTACAGGCGTGCGCCACCACGCCTGGCTGCCCCCTCGTTCTTGTCTTCTGAATCCCCATCCGCTTGCCTCCCAGGAAGCCCTCTCTGGCTTCGCTGAGGCCGCAGGGACGGCCTTTGTCAGTTTGGTGGTGTCTGGCCGAGTGGTGGCAGCGACCGAGAGCTGGTGGCGGCTGGGGTTGCCTGAGGCCGTGCTGCTTCCGTGGCTGGTGGGATCTCTGCCCCCGCAGGCCGCTCGAGACTACCCGGTGTACCTACCACACGGGAGCCCCACGGTGAGTGCGTGGGGCCGGCGGGGCAGGGCCGGAGGGAAGGGGTCGCGCCACGGTTAGCCCCACCCACCGCCCTGCTTCAGGTCCCGCACAGGCTGCTGACCCTGACGCTGCTGCCGGGCCTGGAGCTGTGTCTGCTCTGCGGGCCGCACCCACCCCTCAGTCAGCTAGATCCACAGGTGAATACAGCAGTCTCACTTCCCGCCAGGTGACACCTCCACCAGCATGAGCCTGTAGCTTGCCGGATCTTGTTTTCCCCGTAGGCACCGCCCCTTCCCACGGGCTCCGCCCCTTGGAGTCCTCTCCAATCACCTTCACACCAGCCCGCCCCTTCCCCCAATACGTGGTTCCCTCAGATGCAATTCCTGGAGGCCCCGCCCCTCCTACCTGCCCCTGCCTTCCCATTGGTGACTCACTGGCCCCGCTTCTCTATAACCACGCCCCATTGCCCACTCCCCCACAGCTTCTGGAGCGCTGGTGGCAGCCCTTGCTGGACCCGCTGCGGGCCTGTCTGACGCTGGGGCCCCGAGCGCTGCCGGACGGCTTCGCCCTGCACGCGGACATCCTCGGGTAGGGCTCAGGTGAGGGGTGGGTTGGCATCCTCTCTGCTCTTCCTGGTCCCTGATACGCTCCGCTCCACAGGCTGCTGCTCCTGAACCTGGAACGGAAACGCTGCCTCTTCACGGTGCAAGCCTTGGGGGACAAAGGTGACGGAGGCCCCGGGCGGGCCGGGCGGGCCGTGGGTCGGGGCGCCCTCGACGCCGGCTTCTCCCCGCAGAGCCTGCCCCGGAGCAGCGCCGGCGCCTCCTCCGGAACTTCTACAGCCTGGTCACCACCACCTACTTCCCACCGGGTCGGTGGCCGGCGCGGTGCCCCGCTCACGGAGCGACCCTTGAGTCCCAGGTCGCACAAGGTGGGAGCAAGCGGCGGGGCTGGGGACGTTGTCGGGGGGCCCTGCCGGGCCAGGAGCCCTGCGCGGTGCCGCGGGCTGGCGGGGCCGGCCGGCTCGGGAGACTTCTGTGTAATCGCAGCAGGAACAGCGAACATCGAGCCTCTTGTCTTGCCCGGGCTTTCACACAGCAGGGCGCATCCGTCCCGAGGGTTCTGCGGTCGCCCGTCACTCCCACCGCACGCCGAGGCTCAGCTAGGGGAGGGCAGGGCCGGAACTCGGACCCTGGCGGTTGGGCGCCCAGTCCGGGTCCACGCAGGCTCTGCCCCCCCCTAACTCCTGGAGGCGCAGCCTGCCTGGGGGCTGGGGAGTGGGGAGTGGGGCGTGGGGTCTAGACTCCAGGTGAGGAAGGAAGGGTTGTAGATCCCACGAGGCCCCAAAGGATGGGACCAGGATGGCGCCATGAACGCAGCACACTGGTGCGGGCCACATCCCCCCGGAGCTGTGGGACCCTTGCCCGTGTGGAGGGGGCATGGGGGCAGGGAGGTGGGTCCTCAGTAGAGTCGCTCTGGCCCCTGTGGAGCAGCCTAAGGTCTGGCACGTGGTGTCACCTGCATGTTGCAATCTGGGTCGTGCAGAGGATGACCTGGGGCTCTCACAGGGAAAGAGGACCAGGAAAAGCGCTGACCATGCTGGATGGGGAGAGGGGAAAAGTCCGAGACCCCACGGTTGAGAGCGGAGTGTGGCTTCCTGGGTGTGGCATCTTACCTGTCACACTCAATCCTTTTTGTCCTTTCCCCAGAGCCAGGGCCGCCGGAGAAGGTGGAGGATGCGGGCCACGGGGCCCAGCTGCCCAGAGCTTGCTACCTCGTGTTGGGCCCAGGAATGGGGTGGCAAGTAGTGGCCCTGCAGCTGGGGCCTCGGCAGCTCCTGCTGCTGCTGTCTCCTCAGAGCCCCACCCATGGGCTTCGAGCCCTGGCCACCCACACGCTGCATGCCCTCACCCCGTTCCTGTGACCACGAGGAGCCAGCGGCAGACCCAGACACGGACCTGTTAGCGTCTCTCTGTTTATTCGCTCACAATAATACACAGCCCCTGGACGGGGAGGGGGCAGGAGGGGCTACGACGGGGCGGGGGAGGGGAGGAGGCACCCACTTCCCTGGCCCCTCTCCCCTCTGTGCTTGGGGGTGACAGGGAGGAAGGGGCTCCCCCTTACTCCCCAGAATGTAAACAGCAGCAGATGAACAAAAATAAAAATACAAAAGGCTGGAGGAAGGTCCAGGCATCCCCCACCCCTGGCGTCTTCCCTGTCACCAGTGGCAGTCCCCTCGCTGCCCCACCCACCAAAGCTGCCTCAGTCCCAGAAGCTGCCTGGCGCCAGCCTTGTCCCCAGGGCAGGATCCAGGGCTCAGAACTGCTGGGCCAGCAGCTCGCACAGGTGACGGGAGACGGGCTCCTTGCTGGTGCGCAGAGTCAGCCGGTACATCTGTGGGCGGTGGGCAGGACTCGGGACGGGGCAGCCACAGGAGGGGGAGCGGCCGTGGAGGGGGACACAGGGAAAGGAAGGAGGACAGAGCAGAAGGGTGGTGTAAGATAGGGGAAGTAAAGGACGAAAGATGGAAGAGGACAAGGAAGGCAGGATGCGGACAAGGCAGAGGGACAGTGAGGAAGGGTGCACCAAGGCCGGGGTGACCGGTGAGCCAGCGTCTCCCCCTCGTCGCCTCCCCCTGCGGCAACTCACCTGAGCCTGGGCGTTGGGCTCCAGCCGGAGCAGACAGCCCACCTGCAGGGCTTTCGTCTGGATGATTCCAGCCCCCACGAAGTTCTCAGGGTTGGGGTCCACATTGTCCAGGAGGGCAGAGCCGAACCCCAAGAGCTGGAAGAAGGGACTAGTTGCTGGAGCGCCTGAGTTGTCATCTCCTCCAGGCAGCATCCCGGAGCCCCAAACCTTTGCCCCGCCTTACAGATGGGAGAGTGGGGGCCTCGGAGAAGTTCGGCGGCCACCACCACGAGCACCCCGGGCCTCTCACCTTGGCCTTGGTGACTTCCGCATCCATGGGGTGGTTGGCTTTGAAGATCTTCTGTGCCTCCTGCAGAGGGCTGGGGCAGGAAGGTGAAAGTCAGGGAAGGCCCCTGAAGACCCCGGCCTGCTCTCCCAGGTCACCCCGTCCCGGCCCCTCACAGGCTTAGCTGCTTCCAACGCTGGAAGAAGTCCTGGGCCGCCATCTCCGTGGGCTGGAAGAACTTGTTGATGGTTACCGGGAGCTTCAGGGTGAGGGACTGGGGAGCACCGCCGTACCTGGCAGGGAGGTGCGAGCTGTGAGGCCACGCCCCGGCTAGAAGCCCCGCCCACGGCGCTGCCCCGCCCACTCACCGGAAGCGCACCGACAGCAACGGAGGCGTCAGGAAGTCCCTCAGGCACTCAATGTTGAGCACCTGCTGCACCTGTGCCCCGCCGTCCACCTGCGCCGCCACTCGCTTCGTCTGCACGGCCAGCTGTGCCCGCTGTGGTCAAGGAAGCCAGGGACTGGCAGGGCGCCCAGGCGGTCTTGGCCGTGGTCCCTTGGCTTCGGGGCAGCCCCAACCAGGGGACCTCTGCAGGGCCCTGGCCGGCAGCCCAGCACTCATGCTACGAAGTTCCCGCTGAGAACCTCGGGCCCACCTCTGCGCCTCCTGTGGCCTTCCGCTGTGATCTCGGGGCTCCATTATAGGTCTCACCGCCTGGGTGACTCCAAGCAAACTGCTCAGCCTCTCTTAAAACCTCACCTGCCAAACGTCCTCAGGAGTCATGAGGTAATCCATTAGGTGGATGCAAGTACTCACAGGAGTGGGCAGCTGGTGTCCCCATCTGCATCCGTGGCTGCTTCTATGTGAGCGACCCACCAGCAAGGACGCGGTCTCACCTCCCACCTACCGGTGCCCCAAGTCTGGCGCACAGCTGCCTACTGGGACCTCTAGAAGCGATGGATGGATGAATGAACCAACTGAAAAGGTCCCCCAGGGTTTTGGGGCCCAGCCCCTCTCAGCCCACACATGTGGAAACAGAGGTGGGGGTGGCACTGACACTGCCAGCGACCTTCCCAGGCTTTTTAACTGCTCTGATTTCCACGGCAGTCCTAGAAGGATCGGAGAGGAAACGTGACAGCCCGGGGCCCGCAGCACAGTTCTGGTCAGCATCTAAACCCAGCTGTGGCTCCTGAGTGCCAAAGTTTCTAGAATCTTGGGCGTGGAGCCCAGCACAGGACCAGGTCAGGGTACGGAAGGGGCCTGCCTGGTGGACAAACTGAAGCCAAGGGCAGAGGGGTTTGGGGGGGTTATGCCTCCTCCGGCACTTCGTTGTCACCAGCAGGGGACCTATGTGCCTACGCTCTAAGAGGGCTGGAGCAGGGGTCAGGGCTGGTGCCTCAGCCTCCCAGAGACCAGCAGGCCCGACCCGATGGGGCAGGGCCAGGCCCAGGCCCAAGAGGATATGAGTCTGGAGGTCTCCTGGGTGGACCACAGTGGGCGAGAAGTTCTGGAACTGCACGGAAGTCTTGTTGCCGTAGAAGAGATACATGCGGCCTGTGGGGGGTGGGGAGGCAGGGCTCCGTCTGAGCTCCTCTGTCCCCAGCCACCAGCCAAGGGCTCCCCACCACCAGCCCTGGCCCCACCAGTCACCCAGCCACACCCAGGTTCTGCCGGAACTCCGATTTGACGCCGATCTGCAGCAGCTGATTCTCGAACAGGACCCCGTTGTTCTTGCACACGAACCTGATTTGGGTTAGCAGGGACTCAGGCACCTGACCTCGGCCTGGGTTCCTCCTGTCCCGTTCCCCTCACCCACCCGTCCCGGGACTCACTTATTCAGCAGTTCGTCAGCTTCCGGGATGGGAGGGCTGATGTCCTCAGGACCTGGGCTAGGGGCCAGGAAAGGAGTAAGATGGAAATGTGTGTGTGTGTGTGTGTGTGTGTGTGTGTGTGAGAGAGCAGGCACGCTGGAGGTGAGGGGTATGGTACAAGCCCTAGGACGGAAACTCAGAACCCATACACCCAGACTCCCCAAAGAACCTCAAGGAACAGAGAATCAGACTGGTGATTCTCACTAATTTGAATAGGACTCTGGCTGGTGCCTCCTTCCCCATCAGAGAACCCCAAGTTCCACTTTCCTCCAATTCCTGCCATGGTTGAGCATCTGGAACCCCTTGCCAAGAGCTCCCAGTCCCTTAACCCTCCCTAGGGACACTGGAATCTACCCCCGCACCCCCGAAGCCACCCCTTACTCAGCAGCTGGAGCTGGGTCAGCCAGCAAACCCATGGGGCTCTCAGGGGCAGGCGGCTCCAGCTCGCTGAGCCATCCAATCCCAGAGGAGACAAAGAAGACAGGCGTGGTAGGCAGCCAATCCCAGAGCAGACAAAGAAGACAGGCGTGGCAGGCAGCCAATCCCAAAGAGGCAGCGAGAGGGCCGGAATAGGGGGAGAGGATGAAGAAGAGAAGGAAGAGCAGGCTGAGAAACAGTGAAAGGGCAAGGAGACCAAAGGTGGACAGGGGCGCAGCCAGAGCTGGTAGAGACATCAGGAACAGGGAGAGGAGCAAATGGGGTGGGGAAGGGGCCTGGCGGAAGCGCGGTACCTGAGGAAGGCTTCCTCTGGGGTGGGCCCCAAGCTGGGCTGGGCGGCCGGGCCATCGGAGAAGACGTCCACCAGGAGGTTGCCTGCACTGGCAGGAGCCGGGGCTGCCGCGGGGGGAGGGGCTGCCCGCAGCCCCAGGAGGTCGGCAGAGGGCGAGGGGGTGGACTGCAGGAGATGGGGTCACGGTGAGACTTGGGGCAGCTGCAGGACCTCGTCCAGCCCAGCTGCAGCGCCCCAGGGCTTACCACGGTGCTGGGGGCGGGCTCGACACCCCCATTGATGTCATTGCTGCTGGCATCCCTCCGGCCGTCGTCCAGGCTGCTCGCGGCTCCCGGGCCCTTCTTGCGCTTCAGCTTGGCCAGGATGGACGACTCTCGCTCGGGGAAGGGCGGCATCTCCTCCAGCACAGTGGCCTGCAGGTTGGGTGGGCTGGTCAGGGGAGGGGCACTTCCGCTCTGGGGAGACAGAGGGTCCCACGGGCAGGCGCAGAGCTCTGACCAGGACGTCGGTGCTGGCCACGGAGCTGAGGGTGAGGTACTCCACGGCGCGCTGCTGCAGCTCCACGTCAGCGTTGCGCAGCTGGGAGCCGGCCCGCAGCACGCCCTGGATGGTGGCCTTGGTCTCGGGGAAGAGGTTGATGAACTTGATGTAGGTGGACAGCAGCAGGGCCCGTGTGGCCACACTGCACAGGTGGAACTTGGAATGCAGCAGGGAGAACTGCACTGGGGGGCTGCAGGGGCGGGGAAGGGGTGGAGTCAGCAGGACCAGGCTGCCCTGTAGAAAACCCCCAGGAAAGAAAGGTACCTCCCCACCGGGCCCTTCCGCCACCGCCGCCGGGCTGACCCTTCTGGAGACCCAGGATGACGGCTGTTGCATGGCACAGGGAGGAGGTGGCTGGGGTGATAGCCCAGGAGATTGCAAGGAACCCCATCATGACCAGCCCTGGAACCCCGGGAGCGTCTCCAGATCCCTTAGAAACTCAGGCACTCACCCTGGAGCCTGAGGCTCCCTCACCTGGAGCGGGGATCCCCAGCAATCAGGTTCCCAAACTCCCCAAGGATGTAGCCGCCGACTTTCACCATGTTCTCGTGACAGGCTGGGGCCTGGAGGGCCTGGGGTGGGCAAAGAGGGCACAAGAGAGAGAGGGTCACTGGGCCTGCTCCCAGGCCCTTCTGTGCCCAGCTCAGGGAAAGGTGTGTTAATAAGCAGAAGTCTCACAACTCTGTGAAGTAGGGGGGACTACAGATGGGAAGACTGAGGCCCAGAGAGTAAGTGACTAGCTCCAGCTATACAGGAAGTAAAACGGGGCAGCACTGGGCCCTGCTCCCAGAGGACAGGGAGGGGGAAACCATGAAGACTCCGGGAGGTACCCTACGAACCAGGTACCCGCACCCATGCTCTGTGGACTCTGCACATCAGTTCCCACGCGTTCCCCAAAATGCAGAGGCACGGAACTGAGCACACACTGGTGCAGAAGAAAAAGCAGGCTGGTGGCCCGGGCCGGCAGGCCTCAGCGCCAGCTGTGCTTGCCTGGCACCTGTCTCCCCAGCGGGGTCAGGGTAAAGGATGCTGACCTCAAAAACAGTCTTCGCAGCATAGCCCTGGACGTCGTCCCGGTTGGTGACGATCTGCAGCACACGGTACCACACCTCCTCACTCACGTAGTCGCCCGCGATGCGGATGA